TCTCAGGCTATTCTCATTAAATCTGTCCGTCCAAAGAAATCCACATCTAACCAAACCACAGAAGAGACGCTGCAGCATAGATGACATCAGACATTATGGGTTAAGAAGCTGCAGTGCATCAGTTTGATCTCTGCAGCGTTTAGTGAGACGTACTCAGGCTACAGACACACTGATTCATTTTTATTTAAAACATGTAATTTCTGCTTCGTTTGCACCGAGAATCCACTTTATTTTGGAATTTTGGACCCCTATAACTTATATTTTTAAAAATGTTTTAGTCTGATTGAACCATACTGTTGCTGTGCTTGTTCTGTGATCGTGACTGAAGAGAACAAAGGTATCAGCTTTTTACTGGTGGTTAATTCAATGTAGGAAGTGAATGAAGCTACAAGCATTGCTGACCACGTTGCTGTCTATGCTTGCAGCTGTTGTCCAGTTAAGAAAACTCTGCCTTACTTTTTGCTTCATGTTTGCACCTCCACATCCAGTGAACACCAACGTGATGTTTATGTGCCCGACAGACTGACTGTCGAGAGAAGCCTGCGGTGCTCTAGATCTTTTGTTTGATGGTAAAAGCAGATATTCTCCAAATAAAACATGAGAAGGGTCTGATGTGGTGTCACCTGACAGAGACAACGGGCTTTTATTGTGTGCAGCTTGAATAGTTGAGCCACTTAGATAAGTCTGAAGCGTTTCCTTCGTTCCTTTCAGAGGCTTTGTGACACAGTTTGCATTTTGACCGATAGGATTTGTTTTTTGTACTTTGGGTGCTTTTGTAAAAAAGCACCATCACATCCATCCATCCATCATCTCTACACCTTAGTCCTCACTAGGGTCGTGGGGGGCTGGAGTCTATCCCAGCTGACTCAGGGTGAAGGCACCTGGACATGTGCACCATCGCATATCTCAGATTTTTGGCATCGACTTCTGATTTCCGCAGCATCTCCTAATTAGTAACTCAAGTGAGAAAGTGCTTCATGCAGCAAAACAGACTCATTTGATTACTAAAGGTTCACCTTGACTTACGGTGAAGTCAGAATATCCACCAAGTGACGTGTTGTAGCAGAGAAAGAAGCCAAATCATTTTACATTCAGTTTACCTTTATTTTCTGCGTTTCTCAGAGAGATTCTGAACGGCATCGCCGTCACGGACGAGAACGGCAACAAACTGGGTCACTCTAAGGTCAGCGCTCCACGCACACATTAAAGCTCTTTATTTATTTTTCCTTTCAGTGCTCATAAATTGCCTTTTAATCTCCTTTTATCTCCTGTTGCAGAAAGCGGCGGTAAAAGGCATCACCCAGGTGGTCATTTCCCGGATCACCATGGCGGCACCAGGAATGAGTACGCAGACAAGTTTCACCTCATGAATAGTATATATAAAGTTCCTCAAGTTGTCCTCTCTTAACCGTCTCCTCCTCCTCCTCCTCCTCTCCCAGTCATCCTCCCCATCATCATGCAACGGCTGGAGAAATACAAGTTCATGCAGGTCAGAGCTCCGTCCTGATTTCCTGCTGCAGTCGCGTAAATGTGTTCGTCAGCGCTCAGAGTCTTGTTCTGTCCGTCTTTTCTCAGAGAATCACGTTCCTCCACGGACCGATCCAAGTGATGATGGTGGGAGTGTTGTAAGTACAAAGGGTCGCCGGGTCAGAGGAGCTTTTAAAGTCCTCCTGAGGATTTCATCACTAACTTTTGTTCTCTCGTTTCTTTTTTTTCTTGTTAAAGTTTGATCTTCATGGTGCCGACCGCTTGCTCGCTGTTTCCTCAGAGATGGTAACGAAACACGTTCATGTAACATTCAAACCACAATCAAACCAGGGTCTCATTAGTTTGAGTCGCACAAGTTTAAATCAAGCAAATGAGGTAGAAATTAGGAAAAAAGTGGCTTAAATCTGCAACGTGGAGCTTTTGTCGCCCCCCTCTGGCAGCGACAGTAATTACACCACTGTCCCTTCCTTTTAACACAGTTTCTTTTTGTCTGGAGCTTTTCTTGGATGCTTGCAGGGATTTTCCACCTTAAACTCCAGTTTGCTCCTCGTTGCTGCCTCCTCTGTCTCTGTCCAGTCATCGGACATTAATCACATCACCAGTGCAGGAATCACAGCTCAGAAATCAGATTTCAAACTCGACTGTGCTGCAGAGATTTACAGGCTTCATCAGCAGACGTTCCTTTATTTATATTTATATGAAGTCCTTCTCTCTGGCTTAATAATCATAAAGCAGGTCTGGTCTTATCTCAGCCCTTTTTGTGTTTATGTTAAAGCAAAAAAAAGAATGAAAATAACAAAGTTTATTTGTATAGAATTGTGCACACATTAAAAAAATAAAGAAAATCTGACAGCAAGTGGCAGAAACAAAACGTTAACAAAAGGTGAGACGTTGTAATGTTTAAGAAAAAACTGTGTCGACAAATATTAAATTAAAATATTATGTTTTAGCTGTTTTAAATACAGTATAAAAGTGTGATTTTATAGTCACTGTAAAAGAGAAAATAACTTGATGTGGACGTTATTTACATTTTTTTTTATAGTTAACATATAAATTCACTTTTTTCAGTGATTTTACTAAAAACAGAGAATATTTGTCCAATTCCAACAAATTTTCAATCCTTAATACGCATACTTTTTTCAAATAACGACAAATGTCTGTGTCTTTTTCATTTCATTTTATGGTCAAATAATTATTTATATTATATTATTTATGTATTTATATTATTTATTTATGTATTATTTATAAGTTTGGCTTAATTTTAAATGATAGAAGTTTAAATTATTATCATTGTTTGCTGCCATTTTACTATTTATTATGTGTAATTTAACAAAACAGTGAAAATCTCTGTGATAGTGGTAAATTGTCCAAAACATTACAGTTCAAAAATACAAACTTTTTTTTTACATGGCACCTCTTATAACTCAGTAATCCACTGATTTCACGTCCTTACTGATGCTTGATTAATATTAATTACCTGTTTTGTTGGGGTTCATAGAGCTTTTTAAAAGACAGAGGAAACACATTTTATTATTATTACAGTCAAATACGTCCAAACTCACATCATACCTGCTAAACTCATCTGCAGCTGGAACTGAGTTTGAGAGTTATCTGAAGCATTTTCTTCAGACTCTTGGTTCCGTCGCTCAGTCTGAACTTCCTGATCGGGATTTTGGCGTAACAGCAGCTTCTGAACTCAGCTGTGGGCTGAACCTGAGCGTGCAGTCCAGATGTTGTTGTTTACGTCGCTGCTCTTCGGTCGATCTGGTCGGATGACTTCACCGTCGTAAAACGGGGGATCTGAACAACCTCCCGGTTTCTGGCTCGCAGGTGGCGTTTACAGCCCGCGATCAGTTCAATCGTCCGTAAATCACTGACAAGCGTCATAAAAACAAAATGTTGGTTTGAACGCTGAAGATGAGTCCAGCTGTAGAGAAGCACAGGTGACGACGGAGAGCTGAGGAGGTTTAATAACCGCTGGCCAGATGTTTTCTTTTTGTTGTCGAGGATGAAGAAAGCAAGTTCTGTCTGATATTTTTAATCATCTGAGTTTCAGTTTGGATGGAAATCTTTACAGAAACACCCTGGTAGGTTTTTAAATCCAGCTGTGGATGTAGTTTGAGATTTGGAAAGATGAAGATTAGACGACTGCTTGAATCTGAGTGAAATCTGAATAAACAGATTGGGACGATTACCTTTTAAAGATCTTTGAGGATGCTGAACAGGTGTGGAATTAGATGTTTGTAATATCAAAGCCATAAAATGTCTTTGTTTTTAAG